AAAAAACTGCTTCGGGGGTGCCCGAGAAAGCGATGCGGAGGGGCGCGCTGCCGCATCTCTCTCTGCCCCTGCCCTGCGCCGCCCCTACCCACCCCCCGGCTCGTTCAGCTTCCCTCCGCGCCAGCGAGGGCTGCGCTGGCAGCCTTCCCCTCTGCTGGGACCGCAGGAGACTGCCCCGGCTCGCACCCCGCCTGGGCTTCTCTGCCTCCAGCCCCCGCCGCAGATTTTGCCCTGCAGCGGTAGGAGACACCCAGTCAATGCCTTTCACCCAGGCCAGAGCCGTGGAGCGCTCAGACAGCGGTGAAAAGAAAAAAACGAAGGAAACTGGTTGCTGTTAGCGAAAGGTGACCAAAAAAAAAAAAAAAATTGGGATCACCCTCTGGGGTGTTTCCACTTTAGGAGCGAAGAGGTGCTATGGGAATATTGTTCCCCGTAAGACTATCGGCTTTGGTGATTTGCCCTAGAAATTCAGCAATCTTGGAAAAGCGTGGCAGCAATGGAGAAAAAAAATGTGACACTGGTGAAGGGACCCAGCAGTGAGGGATTTCACCGTCGTAAAGGATAACGGAGATGGCAGTGCTAACGTACATCATTCAAAACCAGGTTTGGGATGCCTTTGTCACCCGCCTTTTAACAGCCTTTCTCCAGAGGGTTTTTTAATGCATTGGGCGTCAGGTCCCAGCACCCCTGACTTCTCCTGTGGAGGCAACGACACGCTGAAATGCCGTCACAAAAAAGTGGGCATACCGCATTTACTGTTCTTGGTATTTCTAAGATAAAAATTAAACAGACCATATTAATTTAAACAAACCTCATTCCAGACTACATCATCCATACAAAGACATACAGAAGGGCACAAGCCCCAGAAAAACAAGGCAAAAAAAGAAAAGAAAAACCCTTTCAGATCCTCTTTTACAATTGCTAGCTTTTCTTTCCCTTCGGCTCTGACCTGAGTCTCACCTATGACCACGCAACTGAACTACACAAAACGCAAAGACACCTCCAGGGATGTCACCTTTGGACTCCATTTTCTCACTCAGACGCTACAAAAAAAACCCCCAAAACGCCCTCAAAGTCTCCTGCACGCACCCAGCTCTGAGGTCCTTGCTTTGCTGAGGGAGCAGTGTGCCCCAGGCGAGCGGCAGCCTGCAAGCGCTCCTGGTGTCCGGCTGTCTCCCATCTCCAGCTGGGTGTGATGCTGGTGGGAGGCTCAGCATCGGCAGCCTCGGGGAAGGAGTCCCGTGTATGTATGTATGTATGTATGTATGTATGTATGTATGTATATCTGCTCTGTGCAACAAGCCACACGCGTTTCCCAGATGCGGTGCTGCTCCCCGCCGGTGCGAATCACCCAGCACTCACAGGGAAAGCCCTCTGAGATGATGAAGTTTGGGCTCGCGCAGGCCACCCAGCCCCAGTCTTTCCACTGCTGTCACTGTGATGGACAGACGTGCCAGGTATCTGTGGGGTGCAGGCAGCTGCCCAGAGCAGCCGGGACAAAACCACTGCCACCTCCCTGAGTGCTGCCAACCACCTCTCAGCCAAACATGGTCTGCAGTCACCGCTGACCAGGCTGGGGCTGAAACAGCAACCCAAAGCAGGGAAAGGCTTATTCTCGACCCCCAGATGCCGGAGCAAGACGCATCCCTCGGAGGGATGCGTGGCTTTAGCATCGCTGAAAACACGCAGCGTTTCAGGGGCGGGAGGGCACTTGCCTTTGGTGCAGGGGTGCTCCCAGTCACACAAATGTGGGCTTCAGATCTTCTTTAAAATTCACCACAGGCTGGAGGCCACTGTGGTGCTCTGTCCAGTGGCCCACATGCCCGCTGGGCTCTGTGTCCGTGTCCGTGCTACTGCTGCCCAGGGAGCCGCGCGGGCTCTGGAAGCAGACCTCGCAGCAGGGCCGGTTGCAGCCATGAAACATCTCCTCGGAGCTGCTGCTGCTGGAGTCGGAGTCCGGGTAATAGTACAACGAGTGCAGGGAGGGCTCGGCGGGGCCCCCCAGGGCGCCCCCCCGCCACCGCTGCTGCTCCCGTGGGATGCACGGGGAAGCACCCTGGGACTCCGGCCATCCTGGCCATCCCTCTGGCTGGAGGCAGACCTCCCCAGGGATGGCTGGAGGGGACGGTGCTGGCAAGTGAAGGAGCCCTCCACCAGTCATCTCTCCTTCCCTCCCCAGGGAGATACGTGCCAACTCCCCACGGCCCCAGCTGCCCACCTCCTTCACCCCATGGCCAGCACAAGGGGACACATGCCCATGGAAGCAGGTGGAGGCATGGGGCAGCGGGATCCTCCGCCGCCGCCTTGCCAGGTAGGGGCTGAGGGCCATGCGGATGCCCGGGTGGCCCTCCTGGGCACCCCACGTTCCTCCCTGCTCGCCTGGGGGGCCCTGGCTGCCGCGTGGGAGCACCCCAGGTAAGGCCGGGCTGTAGGTTTTGCCATCCAGGCTCAGCTCTTGCAAGATTTCCCGCAGCTTCTCGCTGCTCACATAGCTGACTTTAGGGGACGACTCCCAGGCCACGCCAGCTGAGATATCCTGGCCCGGCAGCTGCTCCAGAGGCTGCCCCTGCCCCGCAGGTGTCCCATGCTCCCGTGCTTCTTTCAGGCCACATTCGAGGCCGTCCCCCATGTCAAAAAGCGGCGTCTGAGAGCAAACAGGCTCGTGGCTCACATGTTTCTGGAGGTCCTGAGCATCACTGGAAAGAGGCGGCGTACCCAGCAAGCAGGGAGGCTGCCACCCATCCCGCTCCAGATCCAGGGGGCAGCGGTCCCCCGGCGCATCCCCATGATGCCCTGCACTCTGGGTGCAGGGAGCCGCTGACGGTGCATGGGGGTTGCAGCCGCTCTCCGCAGACATCAGCCTCATCAGCTTCTCCTTGGCGCTGCTCACTTGCTCCTGCAGGCTTTCAATCACGGCATTTTTCTGCATCAAACAAATAAGCCTGTCAAGTGCGGGGCGGGCACAGGGTACAAAAACGCCACCTATCTGGAAGCAGGCACTGCCAGAAAATGAATCCGCACTGCACAGAGAGGTGCTCTGAGGCAGCGCGCTGGCAGGTTTGCAGATTTGGCCTGCAAGAACCACACCGGCAGCATGTGCGACCTCTTCCTCCCCTGGAGCCCCCCAGAGCCCCCCAGATGCAGGTTTGGGAAGGGGGGCACCAGGGCAGGTGGCTCTCCGAGCCGGGGCGCGCCCGCCGCTGCTGTG